ACTTCTTTACATTTGGGTGGGTCTCTCTCTCTCTCTCTATGATACCATTATGTAGAGAAATTGCAGCTTTTAAATGTTGGAATTTTTCTTTTATGACAGCGACACCGCGTGGGGAGTTTTTTTCTTATTTTTATTTTTGTTCCGTTATTTTACTCAGCAGTTTCGAGAAAATATTTAGCATAAAATTGCCATAACAATTTTAAACAGATTTTCTGCGTATTTTGACGTCGAGTTGCATCAAAAAGAAGTAAGATGGCTCTACTCGGAAATTGTGTGCGGGTGTATGAATGTTCTTGTAGAAGAAACACGGCAACGATAAGTTGGGGGCAGACTTCACCTTATAGGTAAATATAGCTACAGTACCTCCAGTCTGGAAGAAGACTGGCAAGAGATTGAACTAGTTTCTGGACTTATCTTACATTTATTTAATATCATAATATAATCATAATATAATTACTTAATTACTACTTATAAAAAAATTAAAAATTTATTGATCTATATTTTTGTAATTTTATCTCATGAACATTTGAGAATAATAATAAATCTTTTCAAATGCCTCCAACATTGCTTGTGGGCGGATCGTGTATATAAATATAAATTCATTAAATATAATATATAAATTCATTAAAATATTTACTAAGCAGATTTATAGTTTGGAGAAATAATAATTATTTGCAAAAGGCCAAGGGAGCACAGACATTGGCTCGACAGTAACACACACACGTACACACAGCAGCACACACACAGAGTTGACAACAAGCTTACTCCAACAGGGAATATGCCATCGACCGCTGGACTCCTGTTGGAGCTCTAACTCTATCAATTTCGAGCCACTGTAATGCTGTGATGCTGCTTGCTTCTGCTTATTAAAGGCTTGGACGCAGATTAGTTTATCATTTAATTAATTTTTTGCCTTTGCATCCAAAAACGAACAAGTATAAAATGAAATGGCTGTGTTGAGGTTTATGGCGGTAAAAAAAATATTGTGTCTATGAAAATCTAAATACATTTTGTGCACTTTTAATTTGATTATATTAGTTTGTTGAAATGATTCAATTTGGTTCATCCAGTGGGGCTGGTTGCTCTGATGAATTGGTAAAAGGTAATCCTTGGGGAAGTTCTTTAATTAGGTTCTGTCGCCCCAAAAACTAATTTTATTCGAGCTATATGAAACGAAACCGATTAAATAAACGCCTTTTCTATCAAGGAAACGTGCGCGAAGAGCATTTGAAGTGTGTATGCAAGTATATGCTCTAATTATGTGTATATGTGTAGATTGAGGCGGGGCTGCTGAACTGGAAGGCAAGATTCTGCAGATTCAATAAACAGAATCGATTTGAGTTATTAAGTCTACTTTCCTTCTGAAATTAAAATATAAGTTTTCATGTTACATTTATTATATATCTCACATATAAATACAAAATTAATAATAACTGATTATAATAATAATCATTGTTTAAATAAAACGTACTCACTTTTTAACTAGAACTCAATGAAGCGCTTCCACCCTATGTCTTGAAGTTAAAACCCGTCAATAAATAAACATTAGTCAAACAAATTGATTTTAAAGTAAATGCAGCTCCAGTTATTTTTTTATAACAATATACAGACAGTGTGTGGTATTGGTTTAGTCTGAGGTTGGAACTCGGGAATCACAGTTGTCAGTTGACACTTATGACCGGGCAGCTGGTCAGCAGCCCGAACTGTCTAATTGTTTGAGTTGCTTTGTGACCTTTTTGGAAGGTGTCAAACGCATTTGCTGTCAAACCTCCTACGCCCAGACACGTGCATGGCTTTGATGCCGCCAGGCCAACGTCACATTTTATATTGAAGTTGAATATTTGGTTGCTGACTGACCACGGGACTTTTACATATGACCATTAGGGGCTGGTTTTTGGCGATTTTCACTTTGACTTTGCCTTTGCCTTTGTCCTCAGTTGCCTTTTAATTTCGTTTCATTTATATTAAAAAACGGAGCAATAGCGACATCACACTCTGCTCTCTAATTGCTGTCAAAATTTGTTTGTTAAGTGTTGGCCGCCACCCACTATACCACACCCTGACGCATGCGACTGTCGGAGACCTCAAATGAGAATATAAATGAGAATTTTTCGAAGCGGATGTTTTCACAACACTGTCTGTGTAAGCGTGTGTTTTCGTTTCCGCTCAGTGACATTCTTACATTTTGCATAAATTCAATGCTGTTATATCAATAACTCGTCTGTAATGTAGCATAAAATTGTATAATAAATATAAATTACAGTCACAATATAATGGATTGAAATACAATTTCATATTAATCCAATTGCGTTGACCGAGCCAGCAACAAGAATCTAATAACATTAATGACCTCCTGAATAACCATAAGAAATAGCCCCAAAACATTTTGCAAATCTAATGAGCCTAAACAGCATAAAAATGAAAAAAAATTTAAATAAAAGGAACGGACGTCGCAGTGAGTTGCGTATGCCCTATAAAGCTTCAAATATTATGGAAATTTGATATATTTTAAGCTTTCATAAAAAATATATATATAACAAAATTCAATTAAATTAAGTTAACTAATGAATATGATAGAAAATTATATAAATTCGTAAAGTATTTTATTTTAATTAAATTGTTTTATAAATTTAATTATCATTTTATTTGATTGTATATTAAAGATGAATTCAGTTCTTACATACATGCCAGTAGTTTCCATACATATCTGAAGGGTATAAGAAATTAAGCGACAAACATTTGGCGTGCATCAAAGCATTAAGCACAAAAATTGACAGCGCGTAGGTCACAAACTGCTGAGCTAAAGCTGGTCGCGATTGTGGTTGGAGCGCGTTGCTGGCTCAGCTTTTAGTGGGGTGCAAAATCAGGAATTAAAACGTCTTAATGGCTTCGTTTTTATGAGCTGTCTGTCTGTGTAAGACATTTGGGGTGGCTAGCTGTTGTCCTTGGAATTTTCGCTAGCATGACGGGCTCGAGCACCAAATGAAGTTTTCCTTAAAGGCCCAAGCCAAAATACGTTCTTTTTGTGATTGTTATAGTAAATTTACATGTAAATTAGGCAAAAGAAAAAAATGTTTCGGTTTTTATTACTCTAATGTTTCAATTAACACATTTAATTGAAATATCTCAAGTGTAGTGAGGTTGGTAGAGCAGCTAACATTGTTTCAATCTTAACGAGAGCCAACACAGTGGACGAGCTTCTCATTAACTAACAACTTCCATATCCGTAGGACATCTCAGTATAAGAATCGACAAGATTCTGATAAATATCCACTAAAATATCTCAAGATCCCATTTGATGGAGAAAAATGAATTTATTTGCCAGCTGATATTTGTTTATGACCAGACAGAGTATTTATCAGTTACTGTATAGCACATGAAATATTATCGTATTAATTAAGTTAAAAACTTTTTTGGACTTTACTTTATGCGATGATTAATTAATAACCCTTTTAAAAACTAGAATTGTTTGTTTTCGATTCATTTGCAATTTGTTATTCTAATGTTTTGTTCTATTTATTGATTTGTTCATTTAGTTCGGTTCGATAATTTTAATTATTCTTCACCAAATATTTTGGGATTGCATTTTTGATTAGAGCGTCACATTGGCAACAACAACAACAACAACAATCAGCGAAAATAATTAAATGCATTCAAGCATTTTTAATTGTTTTAGCTTAGGTGCTTTTATGCTTGGCTAATGTGTGCATTAGCTACGAAATGGGAATAAACATTGTATATTTTATATGTGTTTGTATTATTTCAATTTGCTCTTTTCATGCTCGGTTTGTCGTTGTTGTTGGTCTCGTATTGACCCAAAGGGGAAATATTCATATATAAATACTTGTGTGAGCAATGAGATTGGCACGACTGATTTTTACCGATTCGGTTGCACGCAAATTTAATGTTAATTCTATTAAAAGTTGAGATTGAGATTGGGATTGTATTCTAGTTTGCATGGCAACTCCTTCTGCAATGTAAACATTAAGCACTAAAATACTTGATACAGATATGCATGTGCTCAACAGACAATAAAATAATATACATAGAGCGACGCTTAAAGTTAACTAATGCGAGTAGCTAATAAATAAAACTAAGGCAAATCGAAAAATGTTATTATTTGAAGCGAGTCTTTTGTTTAGTGAACAATGCAATGGCCACATATTCGAAGCATACTCGCAGAGAAACCTTTAAAAGCCTGCCACATTGCTGCCGGAGTGCAAACAAAGGTGTCAGGGAATTCTTCGGCTACGTGAAGCAAACAACCCAACAAACAATAAAAAATAGAAGCAGGACCATTTTGATGGCAAACAGCGGAGCAACCAAAAGGATATCGCGTGCCAAAAAATCAGCATGTAAACACAGCAAAGCACAGCACAGCACAGCCAAGCACAGAAGAAGACAAAGGTATAATGGTGACTACGAAAAAGCTTTCAGCATTGCCCCAACGAGTGTCCATCCCCAAAATGTGTAAGTGATGTGAGAAATGGTTCTGCTTGCCTCTTTGAAAGCTAGCCTGCCTTGCTCTGCTTTGTTTTATTTCATTGTGATTTTATGTTAGTTGTTTTGTTTTGGCATATTGGCAAATATTAGTTTCATACTGTCATAGGAAACGGTCTGTGTTGATTTATAGTAGTCTATGGACTGGAGTCATTGTGTATATGCCTCTAAATGGATTGCGCCTACACCTTTCCTAACATATGTTACCCATTTCAGTATGCTTGGAATTCGATTGACTCGCACTTGCAATTATGTTTTGTTTACTATTAGTCATTTCATGCTTGTGATGTGAGTTTATATCACTGAGTCAGTATTCATAAGATATTAACAGCTTTAAATAAGCTTTCATATATTTAGGTTCATTTTGATTCTCATTTGAAATATGTTGATATAAAATATTCCACATTCCTTGCTCTTCGCTACAATAATAAATGTTTTGTTGTAATATTTGTATGTATATAGTTTTTATTGAATGATGTTTTAGTTAGTGCAAATACACTTGTATAAAAGTAAATTCAAGTTGTCATTAACAATAAACTTAATATAATATCTAATTATTATTCGGTCCATATATTTTGAGTTATTGTCTCTCTCGTTGGAAACTGCAAGAAATAAGATCAAATTATATTTAGTTTGTAGACGTAAGCATATGTTTATTTAAACAAACTTAAGTTATTATTAATCTGACCTTAGTAAATGTTCATTCACATTATTTAGTATTTGGCCTTGTTCAACAAGCCAAAACCAAGTTTTTAGTTTGCGTTTAAATTTTTCATGCATTTCAAGTGTGCATTCAAAATTTAAATACCATAACGAACGTTCGAACGCAGCCTATGCAATCCTAAGGATTGGGCTTACCCCTCACACAAAACATATCAATTAAATTCAATTAAATTCGAAAAACCACAAGCCAAGTGCATTTGTCTTGGGTGGGCGCTTAACCTTATCGCACAGTGTCAGTGGAGCTGCCGTTGAAGTCCAGGCGACGTTCATTGTTCTGCACTTGACCAGCCCCGCACTTAGCTGTCAATCTTATTCTAATTGAAATGCACACAGCCTCTGCGTCAGCTCACAAATTGACTTTTACGGACAAACAATTGAAATTGCAAGGCTCTCTCTCTGGGACGCACACAATTCTAGGTTACACCAGTTAACCAGTTTGCAGTTTAGAATATACTTCTAGATGCCGACTTGAATTGCACTAAAACATGAAGACGGACGAATGAAAACATATTTTTGTAAACCAAAGGTAATATATACTGTTTAATCCCTTGGAAAACATTTTGGCTGTTGACTAGTTTCATCAAAATCAACAAGTTAACTGCTGCAACTTGACTGCATATTGGCTGTCGAGTTCTTAAGCCTACCATTCATTTCAGCCGGACTGCAGGACATTGCAATTTCATTGTTGTTTTGCTGTCCAATTGACTGCCGCACTTGACTTTTGTTTTTCTTTTTTTTGGGCTAGCAGACAAAGAACTAGCTAATCCTAGTCAGAGGATAATTGCTATGCCGTTTGGTATGCTCGAAATATTCCTCAATTTTGTTTTCATGCTGTACAAATTGCAGCTCATAAGGACGCTTAATTAATTAAAAAAGTTTTGCACCTTTTATAAATATTTTTTGCCGCTAGCGTAAAAATGTAAAAAATTTGTATTTCGCACACTTGGGTTGGGTCGGGTTGGGTTTTTTTGATAAATTAGCACGGCTTCCTCGCATGCCTTGTTAAAATATTTGAAAATATTTAAATTGACATTTTTTTGTCAGGTTTCTGGTTTGTATTTTTTTCTCGCCATATTGTGAATATGAACAATGTCAATTTGTGGGCAAGCAGCCTCAAGGCGAAAAGGTTAACATCATGACGTTACATATAGATATATGTATATATATTTTAAATAAAAATTGTTCAGACCGGCAATGGAGCCAAAGGATTGCATTTATCAACAAGCGGACTTTAAAATTTTTTCGGTGTCAATTTGCATGCCGAACACCTTTAGTTCTTATTTGCAGAATGCTACTCATCCATCTGAACCACGCAGAGCTACAACTAATCAAAACAAATTCAATTAAACAGCATGAAATACGAAGTGGCCGACTGGTAGCGGCCAGTTCAAGCCAAAGTAGAAGGCAGAGACAGACAGACACAGGCAGGCTTTTGCATGAGTTTCTTATCTGGCAGCACAATCCATTAAAATTGCACATCGTTTACACCAAAAATCAATTCGCCAAAGCATTTAGGCATTACAAATGCTATGCCAGCCACTGGCTAGCTATACGAGTAGAGACAGCCAACACGAGAATCGTCGACAGAATCCTCGTCCTCATTCACACTCCGCTCCCGCTCCCGCTCCTGCTGCCGCTCCGTTCGCGCTCCGCTCGGTTGGGCCAACAGTCGTAGTTGGCCCGCTTCAAAATGAACGTTGATGGCCATAAATTTCACATACGGCGTTTGTGTTTTTTGGTTTTGTTTGTTCCTGGCTGCTGCTGTTGTCGTCTACCCTCTACAAAGCGATAAACGCAGCCCAGCGCAGCGCAGCTGAGCTTATAAAGCCTCGCTGCTCATTCACCGGGCACTGCTTTGAAATAAGTCCGCCAGATACTGGGATACTGGTACATAGCTACGTTTCAGAACAAGCACGAGTCGTCTGACATTTGTACGGTCTGTTTGTTAGCTTAGAATACTGGGATTGGAATTAAATCCGATAAAAACAAAATAAAGGCAATTTAAGATTTAAGTGCACTAATCGAGACGGCCTGAATTTGAAATACCCTGTATTGCAGCAGTACCTGTTCCAGCTAGCTAAGTGAACAGTTGCTATAGACGGGCATGCCGAAGCTATGACTGGCTGCTCATCAATAGACTCTTGTATAGAGTGGAGTTATTATTGCATAGGTTATATAGTTATATATAGTCTGAATAGTAGTCTGTCAACATTACCCTATCGCATGGAGCTGCTATCAGTGTCATTCCAACATGTCCCACAACAAATTATGTTTGTCGCAAAGAGGAATATCCCGATGGACGTTGCATGTGCAACAACAACAGCAACAACAGCAGTCGCATTAAATGCTTTTGCTGTAGCATATGGTGGTGGCGATGTCAGCTTGCCGCGTTTCATTAGTGGCACCTAAAACAGCAAGCGCAGATTAGACTCAAGCGACGACAACTGAAAGTGTGGAATCCCAGAAAGAGCACGTTAGCCCCCGATGAGTTATGGCATGCATTAATGCGCAGTAAGATGTGACTCAAGCACTGACTTCCCACATACATTAAACATATTGTGCAATGCATATTTATTTATCTTGCTCAAACTCATTCACTATTTTTGCTAATTTTAATCGTTTTTAGTTCAATTGAATTTGAGCATCTCTTTAGATGTTGATGCTGTGCTTGCAGGGAAATACAGCGAAGCATTTACTCACAGCTGAGTCGAGTTGTCCAACTCAGTATAAACTCTTCAATTGGTTGCTTAGTGCAGCTTGGTCAGCTTGCATAAATTACCCCATATTCTCAGCAGAAAGTTGGGAGTAAAACTTAGACTGTTTGTTCGAAAAGAAAGAAATGTAAGGCATATTAAATTTAACATGTTGCGCCCATTCCATTCCTTTCCATTAATAAAACAATAACAGACGAACAAACGCAAAGTTCGTGTATTTCAACAGGAGCATCCCTTGCCAACAAACCGAAGATAAATTGTTTTTGTTCATGATTTATATAAGTAAAAGCTTTGTATGCGGAAGCAAATAAAAATATGGCATTGAACTCGCAGCAGTAGCTCTAACCTACTCTTTAAAGGCACAACTTGCTACGCAGCTTTACAAAAAAGAATTTTGTTTTTGTTTTTAATGCCTTATTATGGGCAAAAAGGATAGAAAAAGGGCAAAAGTATTTAGTTTGTTTGTTAAGGATCATCAGTTAAGACTATCTAGTCAAGTTTGTATATTATAAAGCCAACTGATCTTAATAATATATATGCTTATCATACTCACAGTTTTTAGATTAGTTTAGGGCGTGTGTAGACGATGTAGGCGATGCTCGAATACTTTTCGATTAAGGACCTCGCTGAGTTTTCCTGGATCGTTGGGCTTGTTGCAGGTTTCCTTGGCAGAAAAGTGATCCAGATACTCATCGCGCTTGCAATAGAGACAAACACCACTTATAAACTCCTCCTCACAGAGCGTAGCATTGGTAGAACGCGCCCAATCTGCATTATTGATTTGCTTGAAAAGATCTCCGATATAAATTCGTGCAGTGGAAACTGCCGAAAATGCATTGGACGCAACAGTTGTAATTGGATTGTGCTCCAGATTCAATACCAGCAAATTCTTAAGCTTATTGAAAAGGCCGCTGATAAATGGAGAATAAGCTAAGATTATTTAGCAGGGTTTGTCTGAGAGCTACGCCTTACCCCTGTATTCGATCCAAATTGTTGTGCGCCAAGTGAATTTCGAGTAGCAACGGCGAGTGACTGAAGAGCTCATCCGGCAGGCGGGCAATGTTGTTGCGCTCCAAGTGTAGCATTAGCAGTTGCTTCTGAGATTTGAGGAAGTCTCTGCCCAGATAACTGATGTTGCTACGTATGCCAATGTAGGATAGATTTTCCGACTTCCAAAATAACTCAGCAGGCACATTGTCGCCGCAATTGTGCAGCTCAAAGCCGCGTAGTTTTGTCATATGCCACAGTTCCTTGGAGCTTAGCAAAGACATGTCCACACTGCTGTTCTTAAGCGAACAGTCCAAGGAGAGCTGGAGTAACTGCGTCTGCTTCGCAAATATCTCTGAGCCCACGCTGGCCATGTTCCTAACAACAATTGATAACCTTTTCAGGTGCGTTAGAGGTTGCAGCAAGGTGCCTGGCAAATCACTGCGACCCTTTAAAGTGAGTTCCGTTATTTCTGTGACATTCTCAAAGAAATTTGCTGGCAGCTCAGCCTTAAAGCCAATTAACGAGATTTTTTTGAGCCCTGGATAATTTATGAAGTGCTGCTCAAGCGGATCAGCCCGCTCATCGCGAGCCTCAAAATAGTTAGAGAGCTCCAGTTCGGTATAGTTGGTTATGCCCAACTTCGTAATCAAGTTGCGAATGGTTTGCCCATTCGGTATTGCACAGTTTTCGATACTTAGCCGACCAATGCGTCCGGTCTTGAGCGGTGGCAGATACCCAAAGCCGCGTACATCGAAAATGCTGCAACTGATACTGTACAGCTGCTTGGAGCTGCTCAGGGTAACCATTCCACATTTGATGCGCTGATCCTGGCACTCGCACTCGTTGTTTCCCTTCAATATTGATTCGCAGCCATCTTTGGTTGTATAAATTGCAGGCACTTCTTCAGAGATCGTTGCATTGTCCTGCATGCTGGGGAGGACAAGACTCAGCAGCAAAATTGCAATCAACATTCTCGAATTGCGCTCCGACATCGACTGAAGGCAGCTACAAAACACAAAAAGAAAACTGAAGTGAGCTCAATTTTAGGTATGTATTACGTGTTTACCTGCACTGTACAGGTATGCTACAAGTTCAAAGTAAATCAAATGTGCTATGAACTTAACCCAACCTCTGCTAAAACTGAGCAGCTCTCTAGGTATACATAGATATATGTTCTTACCTGCGCTATGTTAAAGTGTATACAATGATTTTGAATATATATATATATGATAGATAGATAGTTAGATATTTGTATTTAACACTCTAAAGACTATAACTTATAAATATGAACGTAGCTCTTAAGTCCTTATGCAACTTTTATCTGCATTACTGAAGGCTATAAGAAATACCAAGCTCAGATCAGACTTGTTTTAAATCAAAGATAAACTTCAGTTCACTTTCATACAATTATTAAATATTGATAACAAATCTTTGATTAAAAAACTTTTAATGTTTGTCAATAAATTAAATTCACAAAATTGAGTTGAGAAAAAAATTTAAATATTAAATTTATGTTGATACGGCAATTTCTGAAATAACTTGAAATATATTCAAATGGGAATACATAATTATATCATTTTATTGGGCCCCCTCGACAATGTGCTTATTATCTTCTCACATTGATGTGGATTCTGCGCTTAAGTTCAATGCGCCGTTTAGTTCGCTTCACATAAGACGGAGTTTTTGTTTTCTTTTCCTTGCGTATTTCTGGAGTTGGAGCTGGAGCTGGGGCTTGGTTGCGGATATGGCTGCTCGGTTTCAAAAATTACATTTCATTCTGGTTTTTGGTTTCATTACAAATGCAAAAATGCAAAATGGCAAAAGGCGGCCATTATCTTCATTCGCGTCTGTTGATCGATAATCGCTGGCAGACAATCCAGTCCAAGTTGAAATTGAAGTTGAAGACGAAGCACCGATGCTGAATCGTTCGAGGCGTTCATGCGTAAATGGCTGCCCACCTTTACGCAGTTGCACTCACAGATCTGGCCAATGCATTTGAATTTGCAGCCGCCAGCCTTATGATCACATCAACATGCACCAATCAGCCAGCCAGCCAGCCAGGCAGCCAGGCAGTCAGCCAGCCAGACTCACGCCAGGCCACTTTCCTGCAGCTCGTTCCCGCTGCCTCGCCTCTGTTGGCTTCAGGCTTCAGCGCGGTGGCAAACATTTTTTACGATTTGCTTTTGATGCCTCGAATCGCCGTTTCGTATTCCCAAGAGCTAAATCAATAAATTACGTGACAGGCATGCAGAAAACTTGATTACTTCAACTCCAAAACTCGTACCATCGAATGAGCCAACTCGAACGATCTTCGCTACGTTTTCCTTCATTTTGATTGAATCAATCAAAAAAATATTCATTTATATTTAAAGGCAGGACATCCATCTTACGATCTTCCATACATATATGTGCCACAATAAATTATTAAACGCTATTTTATTATTGAGTTAAATTTTTTTTATATATAAAATTGCAGTTGCAATAGCTGCCTAAGTGATCCTCCTAAATATAAATAAATTTAGTATACATAATTACCATATATTCACTCTTCACTTAAGCTTAATCGTTAAGTTTCTAGCAATATAGATTTAGTCCACTGATTTAAGTGAATTTAACATTTTGTACCTCAGCCAAAAAAAAATTAAAAATTTATGCAGCTTAAAGTTTGCAGCAGCTAAGTCAAGCCATGGATTCAGTGGCCTTAAAACTCGATGAATCCCGACAAAGGGACTAGAAGCCATGTCACTATTCAAGTTGATTGTGCCACAAATCTTCATTGATTTTGATTTCTTGGACCACGTTGTTAAATCGCCTTATTCAAAGAGCTTTTGCCTAGACTTAAACGGTAAACGGACTTCATTCAGAGCAGCCAGAATGGTAAATACTTTTGTAAGACTACCGTGCAACATGACAAGCAGCAAATAAATGGTCTTAATCCTGGCCAGACAAAGGGCTGCTCTCATAAAAGGGCAAGACCTGGACTCTGGCTTCGGCTTCGACTTCGGCTAATAACTCACTCATACACAACGTCGCGAATGTGTCTGGGCGTCTAATGGAATAGTCAAGGAATGGGGTTGGTCTGGTGGTCTTCCATTTATGCGATTTGCATTTGATTTATTTATTGTAAATTATACGCCGCATGCAAATTGGTAGCTGTACGAAAAGGAAAAAAAATTAAGTTGTTGTGCAATGGTTTTCCGAGAAACTTTTTCCAGTTGCGCTAAAATTGCCCTAAAGGGCTTTTCCGTTGCTCAAATAATAATTCGCTTCAAATTCGAATACGCACGTTTCATAACAAAAATAATATACAGCCAGCACAAGCACAAGCACAAGACACAGAAGGCAGCCAATACATATTATGTTGCCTGAAGCGCCCACGCAATGAGAAAGCGTCTTTGGCAAACCCTTTGCCTCGGGCGTGAACGTTTCCCTCTCGCTTAGCCACGGCGTCCCCTTGGTGGCAAATCAAATAGACGCATGAAACTTAATAGTACGTACAATTTTTGACATTTGCCTTTGAAAACAAATGAAACTGAAAATGGAAATGGCAATGGAAATGGAAATGGTAATAGGTAACGTTAATGGCAACATGAACTGGGGCAACGCCCACACCGCTCAATTTTGGGTGTTTGGATTGTTTAGTGCGTGGCACGGTAGTTTTTTCCTTACGGCTTATTTCTACGTTTCCGCCTATTTATTTATTTTAATTAAAATGGACACGTGTTGCTGTTTTCTTGTTTTCATTGGCCTGGGCAACTTAGAGACAAGAATCAAAATTATATCATTGTGAGCTTCTGCCGCGCACTAGGCCAAGTAAAAGAAATTCTAACTTGGCAGCGTAAACAGATACCTTAGTGATTGTATAAAATCGCTGACGAAAATTTCAGGTATCTTTTGCCATGAACTCATTGAAAATGGGAATTTTCTTTAAGATTAAAATTAAATTATAATGTAATAGGCAGAAGGTTTACATTTTCTTGATCAGCATCTGTCTGATCGTCTGTGCAAGAGCCAAATTGAGCATAAATTTATCATACATTTTTTGCCACAGCTTCTCCCATTTTTAAATAATATTCTAACATTTTTGTAATTTTAATTTGAAATTCTGTCCTTAGGAAAATTAAATATCATAGCGAAATATATGTAAATCAATATTTTTGCTACACTGACTAGGTTTTGCGCTCCTTGGTTACGTTGCATGCTCCCATGACAGTTGCTATTGTCTGGGCACACAGAACTGGGCGTGGCCATTCATATTGCACAGCCTTCAACAGCAAATTTGCATAGTGGCTCCTTGCAGAAGCTGCAGCTTGGCCAGCACAAAATGCCCCTGAGTGGTATTTGCAAAAAATTGCACTGGTGTATGTATGTGTATGAAAACCTAAATCATGATCGTGTCTACAAAGCGGATAAGTTTTTTTTCGTTCGTTTTTAACAGGCAGTGGCTGGCTGCTTATCGCCTTAAAATAAAAAGAAGCTCAAGCTGAAGCTGAAGCTGAAGCTGGTAGCCAGTAGCTAGCCGGTCATCAGAAGTCCGAAATTAGCACAGGAGTTTGCTGCTGTTCAATGTCTATGCCTGATTGTTGCTGCCGTTGCCGTTGCCGTTGCCGTTGCCGTTTAATGTTTTCATGGACTTGCAGCTATTTTTAAAGTGCGTCGCAAATTATAGAATTCGCTACTGAGCGGGGTATATAGCCTGAAATTCTGACATCAACGGCATTAATTTTATGTAATTAATGGAAATTATGAGTGGAACATTGAAATTCCTTGTGAACATCGCCCAGGACAACCGATGCCAGAGTCGAGCAACTCAATTGCCAACTTTTTAAGTCATCGCATTGGGCTGTCGAGGCGGCTGGGGGCAGAGCAGGCGGTTCGGCTTGGGTGGGCCCTGTTCGGCGAAATTTCCATCATTCCACATAGCTTGCCAAATGAAAGAAAATTAAATTTTTCACTGTCTACTTAATTGAAACATTAGCCAAAAACATTTTATCTACTCTGTCCCAGTTATGTTCTCTGTTTCTGTGCTTTCTGTTTTGCCCTCTGTGTTCATTTACATTCAAATTAACTCGTAATGAAAACGAGTTCACAAACTTTGGCTTTGGGGGGTTGCGGCATTTAATTAGTTGTTCTGATTGTTCTTGTTGTTGTTGTTGCTGCTGTTGTTTTTTGTTACTGATGTTTGCTGGCCATTTCTTTTAGCTTAGTCAGTTCAATTATCCACGCACAATGTGCCGCAGCATCGTAGAAAGCTTTATGTTCTGTTTGCTTTGACACTATCAAGGCCCATTTGTTCAATTTATAGTCAGTTACACAGAAAGCATATATCTTTTTATAAGGAAACACAAGTAAGAGCTGGAGAAAAGTAATTTGAGAGGTTGCTTGGTTTAAAAATGCACTTCGAGTTTATGCAACTTGGAAACATATTTGAGAATGAAACATTTAATAAATTCTCTGTAAACCATAAGCTAATTTAAAGTGCTTTTGCTAGGTAATTCATAGACATATGCAACATCTAGAGGTTATTGATAACCTCAACAGCTGTTGGGATATAGGAAATCATCGACAACAATCTCTTCCACTATCCACAACTATCTCTGATAAGACAGCTACCATAGCTTCGCTTTCTATGAATTATGTCAAACACTGCACTCATTTTGGATGTCAAACAACTTTTCGGAATGCTTTGCCCGATATCGAAAAAATGTGTAATTTGCTTGCATACTTTTTGATACTTATTGTGCCAAACACTCAAATCTAGGGCCATCATTGCTCCGGGTCTGGCTCACCATGAATATGTGGAGGACTTCTTTTTTGCGTACACAGCATAAACTGCAATCAAAGTCTGCTGCATCATCTATGGCAGCTCAACCCAGGCCAGGCCGTGGTAGGCCAGAGCCGGCCAGGCATATATACCCACTTCCAGTCATTTTGGCACTTCAAATTGGCAAACAAACAAGCTCACGTTCAAATGAAATGTGAGTATAAACAGACATTTTTCACACAG